CTGCTGTTTGAAGCTGCTTTTGTGTATGTTTGTTTTGTTTTATTTGGCTTTGGGGCCGACCCAGTTGTGCATGAGGAGTACTCAAAGCTCAGTGCTCAATGCTAATACCTGACAAGTCTAGGTGACCAATGGGATGCTGGAGGTCCAAAGGTTTCATCTTGGGTTTTCTGTTTTACTTGGGGTTACCAGGAAAGTCAGATACATCCAAGAACCTTCTAGGTGACCAATGGGATGCTGGAGGTCCAAAGGTTTCATCTTGGGTTTTCTGTTTTACTTGGGGTGGCAGAGCAAGGATTCTCGCAATCATTCCTTTCGCTACACTCTGACATTGCCCCTGGCAGTGCTTGTGGGACCATATGGGATGTTGGGGATTGCCAGTCCTACATGCTGTCCCCGGAACAGCTGTCCTGTTATGCCAACCTGCTGCTTCGGCTTCTTTTGCATCGTTTTTGTCATCAGCTGTCCTCTTGACTCTGTGCTCTGGATTCACCATTGACTGGCCTCAGAGCACCCTGGGGTGTGCCAGCCCCGTTTGCGCCCTGGCAACTACAGTGGCTTGGGCCCCCAGACTTGGTTTTCTCCTGTTTTGTCCTTCCTACTTTGGAGAGACTACCTGCTCGGTCATATAGTCTTACATTCACATAATCCTGTGTGTGGATTTCTGGGCATGTGCCAATCCCAAGGAGAAAGCCAAGGATCTCTGAGATCAGTAGAGATGTTGGGGTCCTGAAACTTCTACCTTCTTTGAGCGGGATTTGGGGCGGTCCTGAGCAGTGAGTTCCCACAGGCACACATGCCATGCACTACTCCGAGCAGTTGTCTATATGTACTGTCGAGTTCTCAATCCTAGTGGTCATGTGCTTTGGGGGTGCAGCGGTGAATGTGCAGTGTTTTTTGCTACACCCAGGGATAGTGTTTTGGATCGTACAAGTCTGTGTTCAGGTGATCCTCTCTGCAGTGCTCACTGGACCAGTGGTGCTCGAATTGGCCCTGGGGTTACCAGGAAAGTCAGATACATCCAAGAACCTTCTGTATAACGTCCTCCCACTTTAGCAGATCCAGCTGCCTTATGTGATTTCTGGGGCCCGTCAGCCATGCCTGTGCATGGAGGCTGGTTCATTCGGAGGGGAGAGGCCCAGTGACAATATAGTACCCTGGGACCTGGCCTCAGAGTAGTGGTAATGAGGCTAAGATGGACTCTGACTCCCACCCTCTCCGTGTGCTGACTCAGGATGTAGTGACCTTCCATGACGTGGCTGTAAACTTCACCCTGGAGGAATGGTCATGCCTGGAGGCCTCTCAGCGGAAGCTGTACAGGGACGTGATGCTGGAGACATACCAGCATCTGCAGGCTGTCGGTGAGAGCAGTGTGGAGCCAACCGTGTCTGAACAGACCAGCGTGGGCTCCCTGGGCGGCAGCTGTGTGTCCAGCAGTAGCTCTTCCCTCCCTCGTTTTTTTGGGGGGTTCACCTGTGGATACTCAGGGCTTACTCTCAGCTTTCTTCTCAGGAATTACTCTTGTGGGGTAGCCGGAACCTGTGGTTTGATTCAGATCAATCCATTTCGACTGTGTCCATGGGAAGATCCCTATCTGCCCATTTATCGCTCAGGTCCCTTTAAATAGTTCCATCCATTGGTGAATCAATTTACTTTGTATACTACACAAACTTTTGTATGTTTAATTGGTTTTGCTTTTGCCTTTGTTTGGGGGCACAGCCCACAGTTCTCCTGGCTCTGTGCTAAGGGATGACTGCTAAGACTGCTCAGGGGCCATGAGGTACCGTGGACTGAAACCTCTTGGCAACTTAAAATGTTGGTGTCACACCCCCAGTACTTTTGCACCAGGCACTCAACTGTTTTTGCATTTTCTTTTTTCCTTAGGGATTAGGGATTATTACTGCCTGTGTATTCAGGATCCACACCAGGCCTTGCTCCAAGACCATTTGGGCTGCCTGGGATCAAACCCACATGTGTGTGCAGCGGTTCTGACCTATGTGCTGTACTATCTCTCTCCTACCACAGGGGATTTGATATCTCGTCTCTCAACTCATTAGATGCTGCCCTATTTCAGTGCTTGGATTTACTTCTAATTTTTCTTGTGAGACTTCAGCAGGACTTAGGGTTTGCTCCTGGACTCTGCACTCAGGGATCACTCCTGGCTGGCATGACGGACCCTAGGAGATATCGTGTATCACAGCTGGATTGTCCATGAGAAACTCCTGCTCTGCTCTCTTTCTGGATACAGTTTTTAGCTTTAAAAAATAAGGGTCTCTTGCCACCCTTGGCCATTTCCAGATTTATTATGCACTTAGTTTTACTGAAATCCGTGATGAGTTCATGAGGGTCTCAGGAAACTCCATGTGCTGCTGTGCCTATAAAGACAGTACAGGGAGGAAAGTGATTTTCTTGCAAGCGGCGCACGTGGGTTAAATCCCCAGCAGCCCATGTCATTCTCGAGCACCAGCAGCAGTGATTTCTGAATACAGAGTCAGGAGTCACCCCTGAGCATTTCCAGGTGAGACCCCAAACAAAACAAAAACCAACAACATATTGTGCTGAACAACCCCCTGTCGGCCATACACAAGGCCAGGTCCAGAGTATTTGTGATATTTTCTTGGGTCTTAACTCTCGAATAACTAGAAATATGTGGCGTTTTGGAAATGGACATTCGGTTCATGTCTTTCATATATTTGCCAAGTTATATCAGGAAAACTTGTGCATTTACCTGCCATCTTTTCCCTGTCACTTATCCATGCCTCTGTCTCTGTCGGGGCAGGGTACTCTGGGATGAAGCCTGCGGTGATCTCCTGGCTGGAAGGAGGAGCCCTGAGGTCGGGGAGGAGAGGCATGTGTGCAGGTGAGTGTCTGAAGACCCTTTCTGGCTCAGGCCCAGTGCAGTGTATGGGTGCCCTGAGCATGTATGAAACACACTGCTGAGATCGGGCCCTTGGTCTCCTGAGTACTTGGTTCTGTCCTACACACACACTCCTCTTGATTCCCCTGGAATGTCAGTCACAGAATGATCCTGTAATTTGTAATTTGTAATTTCCATGGCTTTCGGATAAGTAAGACCATAACAGAGCTAGTTTGGATCTGAACGATAGTACAGCAGGGAGTGCCTTGCAGTGCCTGAAGGTGATCTGTTCAATAATGTGTTCAATAACCTGGTTCTCCAAACATCACCAGGTCTGCTCAAAAGCAAAAACAATATCTAGTGTAGAATTGCCAAGATCCTCACAGTTTTCCACTATCGAATCTTTTCTTTAGTGTGGGATTCTTTGGACTTTGAGAACCACAGAGATGTACTCTTAACTACATCGCATCATTTTGCTACATTTTTGGACAAGTGCTTGAATTGCATGTTTTGTTCAGTTTCAGAACTAAAACCGCGGCTTCAGGATTTGGCATTACAGCACTTTGATTTGGCAATGGGGTCTGCAAGTATGAGTGAGTTGGTAAGATTCGCTAATTCAGAATAAAAATTATTATGCCAGCAGGAGTGAAACAAGTATGTGATTGTTAAGGTGGAAGTCTGGGAATGGCCGGGAGGAATTCCAAATCCTGATCCTTGGAGTAGAGGACCCTTAGCTTCACTAGGTGCTGAAATCAACCATGTATAAAAAATACTGTGAGTTTTGATTTGCTCGACAGTGGTAGTTGTTTAGAAAGCTAATTCGTGGGCCCTGTAGATAGGGCAGTGAGAAATATACTTGCTTTGCACAGGGATGGATGGTTCTTACCCAGCATGCCTTACAAACACCATAGACCCACAGAACTGATCCTAGACACTGCATGGTGTGCCCCTCCACCCACTCAACCCCCAATAAATAGAAACTACAAAACAGAAAGATAAGAAAACTTCATTGATCCTAAAAGGCATCACTTGCGGTGAGAGCTTTGCAATGGCCACATTGTCTGTTTCAGCTGCGTGATGATGCAGCGTTGTCTTCACCCCTGCATCACAGGTTCCAATCTGAGCTTTAACCAAACCCACTGTGGATGTATTTCATTTTCTCTTGAAATGGATGCATCTGTTTTCTATAGAAGGAATTATTTGTAGTTGTATACCTTCATTAATTTAAAGGTGGGAAAGTCACAGAATTTACTGACTCTATCCATCAATTTTGTGAGTCCAACTTACAGTAACATGAAGTTCTTTAATAGTAAGACAATTCATATGTCAGTAATTGCATTTGTGCGGTGCATATGTGTGAAACCACATCTGAAGGGCTCAGTTTTTTGACAGGAAGACTCAGTGAATAATGCAGTAATTAGAATCCTCTGTTGTTATACAGGAAAGTTGCCACCCAGAATGGAATGTCTCTGATCCTGCACTGTATGATAATGTCTCGAGAGAGCAATCCTGCCCTCAGCCCCATGAGGATGCCGAGACAGGCGGGATGTCTTCTGAGGGTGATCAGAATAGCGAGGGCTACCTCACTCTGAAGAAGCCCTCTCCTGGAAAAAGTTCCTTGGAATGTGTTATTCTCAGTTCACAGACAAAAAATTCCCCAGTGGGGCACCTGCTAGGGAAAGGAGCACTGTTTATAGTGAGTCCCTCACAGCAACATACCCTCAACCACAGTTACCATGAGCAGAACCCATCTACGTGTAAGGAATGTTGGGGAGCCTCCCCATGTTCTCAGCACTGTGGTGTTCACTTAGAAAACCATATTGGACAGAATCCCCAGAAAAGTCAGCCCGGAGAACAAAGTGTGAGTCAAGGGTTACTCCATCATGACCATATGAATATAAATTCAGGAGTGAAACCTTTTTCATGTGAAGAATGTGGGAAGGCCTTCGATGAATCATCACATCTTATTATGCATAGGAGAATTCATACAGGAGAGAAACCTCATGAATGTCAGACATGTGGGAAGGCCTTTATTTAGAACTTTAGTCTTAATAGACCTATGAAAACTCATAGTGGAGAAAAGCCTTATATATGTCAGGAGAGTGCTAATGCCTATACTCGATCCTCAGGCCTCAATATACATAGAAGTATTCACACTGGAGAGAAACCTTATATATGTAAGGAATGTGGAAAAGCCTTTGCTAGACCCTCAAGACTTACTGTACATAGGAGAATTCACACTGGAGAGAAGCCGTATATATGTACGGAATGTGGAAAGGCCTTTGCTAGAGCCTCAAGACTTACTGTACATAGGAGAATTCACACTGGAGAGAAACTGTATATATGTAAGGAATGTGGGAAGGCCTTTACTGAATCCTCAAGCCTTAGTGTACATAGGAGAATTCACACAGGAGAGAAACCGTATATATGTAAGGAATGTGGAAAGGCCTTTGCTGTCGCCTCACGACTTAGTGTACATAGGAGAATTCATACGGGGGTGAAACCGTATATATGTAAGGAATGTGGAAAGACATTTGCTTGGGCCTGCACATTTAATAAACATAGGAAAATTCACACTGGAGTGAAACCGTATATATGTAAGGAATGTGGAAAGGCATTTGCTTTGGCCTCAAGACTTAGTGTACATAGGAGAATTCACACTGGAGAGAGACCCTATGTATGTAAGGAATGTGGAAAGGCCTTTACTTTGGCCTCAAGTCTTAGTGCACATAGGAGAATTCACACTGGAGTGAAACCGTATATATGTAAGGAATGTGGAAAGGCATTTGCTTTGGCCTCAAGACTTAATGTACATAGGAGAATTCACACTGGAGAGAAACCATATATATGTAAGGAATGCGGAAAGGCCTTTACTGTATCCACACGATTGAGTGCACATAGGAGAATTCACACTGGAGAGAAACCATATATATGTAAGGAATGTGGAAAGGCCTTTACTGAAGCCTCAACACTTCGTGTTCATAGGAGAATTCACATTGGAGAGAAACCATATATATGTAAGCAATGTGGAAAGGCCTTTGTTGGAGCCTCAAGACTTAATTCACATATGAAAATTCATCTCAGAGTGAAACCTCATCAGTGTCAGACATGTGGGAAGGCATTCACACGATTCTATTCTCTTACTCTACATATGAGAATTCATAATGGAAAGAAGCCTTAGATATGTCTGTAGTACGGGAGGGCCTTTACGTAATCCTCACAATTGACTGTACATAGGAGAATTCACAGTGGAGAGAAACCGTATATATGTAAGAAATATGGGAAGTCCTTTACTGAAGCCTGCTGATTTTCACCCTGGCTGCACCTATGCCAGTATTCTTGTGCTTGGAATTGCTTGTGTGTTAACTTGTAAATAATGGGTCATGGTGATGAAAATAAGGAGGAAGGTGACTGAATAAACAGGTACAGAAACACCCTCCTGCTCAGAGCTGTCATGGCTCACTACTCTGTTATTGTTTGCTATGCTTCTTGCTTGGCCCAGATGGGCTGCTTAGCGGAAATTATGGCAGAAATCAGCCAAGATGCAGCTTTGAATACTTTGAAAATGGAAAAACAGGTAAACCTTCATTCTTCAGTCTTTCCTGGGTTAGGATTTGGAATGCTTGAGCACCCTGAAAATCCTGGTTTGGGAACTTGAGCGTCAGGTCACACCTCCTTGTATCGTGCATTCACACTTGTTTCTTACTTGTTCTGGATATCCAGGCTTTAGTGGATGTGGAGCTTTTTAGGGGTGCATTGGGGGCTGTTCTGTGGCTCAGGTGTCATGGGTGAGGGTGCGTTATCCTGAGGGCCCCTGCAGCCACGATCGCATCCAGGTCCAAGATGGCACTGGGATGGTGGGCACATGGACTTCAGGCCGTGGTGTGGGGAGCCTGCAAAGAGTGGGGGTCTTGGCCATCTCACTCCTCCCTACTCGAGACTGCGAAGGACCCTGTTTGGAGCCTTTGGACTGGACATAACACTTATCGAAGCTCCGGATATGTTCACGAGAAGCCCCCAAAAGAAAGGGACACTTTTGCCATCGGTCATTTTCATTGGCTTCAGTGCTGGGCTTGGTACTTTGGGCCGTGTTTGGACAAATGAGAGGTATTTGCCTCTGAAAATTCACTCTTTGGATTATATATATATATTTTTTGCTTTTTGGGTCACAGTTTTTCACATGGGTTTCTCGTTACTTATGCACTCAGGAATTACTCCTGGTAAAGTTCAGGGGACCATATTCTTGCTGGTATTCGAACCCGAGTTGGTCACGTGCAAGTTAAATGTCCGACCAGCTCTGCTATCACTTCAGCCCCTCTTTGGATTAATTTGAATAGCTGCTTTTATTCATGGGAATTGGAAGGGATTCTTTGATGCTCATGGTTTACTTCTGGTTCTGCAGCTCAGGAATTATTCTGTGTTGCTACTGGGTTCCTATGGGATGGGGAGGTTTGTCCTGGATCAGCAAGGCAACCATCCTAGTCGCTTCACAGTGAGTCCAGCCCCACTATTGGTGTTTTTCCCCATATATAGAATTTCTACTTCCCGGGAGTATGGTACCGACAGCAGGTCAATCTGTGACTGTACGTCGAGTGCATCAGCAGCCTGATGGCACCGTCAGACTTCCAGATACTCCAAAATTGCTGCTGTGCCTTTCGCCAGAATCCAAAAACTTTGGGCAAAATCTTCCAAGAAATTAAACGGCCAAAAGTTAGGTTTGTGTGAGACACACCAACAAACCATTTCCGGCTCAGCTGTATAATTGGAGGCAAGGTCTCTCTGGTTCCTGATCAAACTGCTTAAAGGCTATGATCCCAGAGACTCAGAGACAAATCTCGGAACCCAGTGGCTTTCTGCAGAGATGCGCCCTGTTCCTGCAATGAGCTATCGGCGACAGACCACCACAAGGGGGAAAGGGTGTGTCTCTCCGCCTGATCCCACTTGGTGGCTCGGTGACCACCATCTTTCAGAGGGCATTGGATAGACAGGTTTGGGCCTGCAGTGACAAGACATGCGGGGCCTCATGGGATTGGGGTGGACTCTGCACATTCCTCCCCACCTCAGTGAGACCCCGAGTCGCTGCCCATGTACAGACTCTCTGGCTCTTGATCACTCTGTTTAATGGCCATGATCCCAGAGTCGCAGAAACAAATCTCGGAACCCAGCGGCTTTCAGCAGAAATGTGTCTGGTCCCCTCAGTAGATTAGCAAAGCTGGGTATTTCAGTTGGGAATAGGTTTCGTGCCTGGCGGTTCAGTGGCCGCCATCACTAAGGGCTTCTGCACGGTTAGGTTTGGGACTGCAGTGAGGAGACATGCAGGGCCTAACAGGATGGTGGTGGAGCCGGCCCTTTTTTCCCCACCCCAAATAAAACCCCGGGTTGTCTGGCGCCTACGATTGAAATCTGTGTCTTTTGATCAAGGTACGTAATGACCATGATCCCAGAGATTCAGAGACAAATCTCGAAACCCAGTGCCTTTTAGCAGAAATGTGTCCGCACCCCTCATTAGGTTACTGTCCCCAATCCACCCCAGGGGGAATTGGTGCTGTCCCTCCAACTGCTTCCACTTGTCAACTCGGTGGCCTCCATCCTCCGAAGGCCTTTGGAAAGTCTGGTTTGGGCCCACACTCACGAAGATACATGAGGCCTCTCAGGATGGGGTGGAGACGGCCAATTCCTCCCCACCCCAACAAGAGCCTAAGTCATTCCCACGAACCACCTCTCTGGCTCTTGATAAGGCAGTTTAATGGTCATAATCCCACAGACTCAGGAACAAATCTCGGAACCCAGCAGGTTTTGGCAGAAATCCCTCCAGATTTAGTTGTTAAAATTTCAGAATTCCAAAATCATATGTTATTTATAACCAGCAATCGAAAAAGGATTGTCTACTGTTGCGTTTTCGCCAGATATGAATGCTGGGGGAAAATCCCAAATAATAATGGTGGGTCTCGAGCCAAATTTTGAATGTAATCAAAGTAGAGAGAAGAATGTCGAAATTATCTGCCCCACTGGTAGAGGAAGACTGTGGAATGGCGTTATACTTGGGTTTTTATTGGTGGAAAATGGGCTCGATGAAGGGAAGGGTGTTTCATTGTATGACCGAGACTTTAACCTGAAAGCTTTCTAAGTGCTCTCCCATTTTTTCCCGTTTTCTCCCATTTATTTAGAAATTGCCAGAGCAATTGTAGAGCAAGTAGGATGCTTAACTTGCATGTGTCCAACACAGGAGTCCTCCAGTCCACAACATCTTTGAGTTGATCATTGGAAAATGAGTGTCCCCTTCTCATCCCTAGAACATATTATGTGGGGATGTGGCATGGGGTAGAGGTGTCTTCTCCCTGGAGTTCTTCATTATGGAGAGATCCTGTGCTTTGCCCTCTTATTTTGTTGTCATTCTTCCTCATCTCTCAGGTATGTCGAGTAGTCAGTGTGTTTTAAGACCCTTGTTTTCCCGGCTGTATAACAAGCCTGACTGTTCATCTAAAGGGTCGGGTGCTCTTTCTGGACTCCGATCAGTCAATGTGACACCTTGTATATCTTGGGTTTGGATCATTGCCATGGTTTTTTGAGTATGGGAAGAAATTTAGTTTTCTTTTGTTTTGGGTCCTGGGGATGCTCAGCAGTTATTCCTGGTGGTTCTCGTAAATTGCTTTTGGCAGTGTTCAAGATCAACCCCTGTCAGCCTCATGCAAGGCAAATGCCTACCTGCTGTACACTTGTACGCACCAAAAAATGTTTTATTGTGTGTATGTTAAATTGTGACTGTGAGCCCATAGTGAAGTTAAATAGGACCAGAACAGCTATGCATCACGGTGGGTGCTCGCCTTAAAGATGCCGCCTACCTTCGATGTCCAGCATCCCCTATGGTATCCCAAGCATCACTGAGTCTGATTAAAACAGAAGCCAAAAGGATTTTTTGGGGATTGCTGAGCTCCTCCATCCCCACAACCACATCTATGGTCTCAGCCTCACGGGAAAAATATCAGAGCCTAATGCTGGGACTAGAGGGTCTTTAACCTCAGTGGGTGCTGCAATATGGAAATTTATTTATTGTATTGTTTTTTAAAGTTTTCATTAAAGTGCCAGTATTTTCAAAGTTATTGATAGTTGTATTTAGGCGTACAATAATTGAACACCAATCCCTGCATCAGCTTCTCTCCACCCGTGTTCCGGTATTCCCTCCCCACCCCAGTCCCCAGTCTACCCCCGCCTGTCATCTGGACAAGCACATGACTAGGTTTCAGTGGTTACAGCTTATATCTCTTATTTTCAGTTCTGTTGCATCTGTGTTTTGGGTAAATGGCTACACCCCTCACTCATGTCAATGGCATAAATGAATCCCTGATCCCTGTAAACGTCTGGGTCTCTTCCGCCCCAAATTTCTTTCCTTCTTTGTCCGGCTTCTCTCTAAACACTGGAATCAGGGATGATTTAAGTAGCCCCTTTATATTACATTTCCACATCCAGTGTTCGGTATTCCATAGATGAGTGAACATCATCCTGTTTTTGTTTCTTTTTCTGACTAACTTCACTCAAGATGGTATCTTCCAGTTCCAACCAGGTTGCTGCATAAAAGCATTAATTCTAAAACCTAAAAACTATATCACTTGATCACTTGATCCCACATTATTCATCAATTTATTCGAGTGGGTGCCAGTAACGTCTCCATGTGTGCCTGTTGCGTGCTAGTGTAGCCCAATGGCATCTGTTCTTTCTAGGAACATGCGGAGCCTCAAACCAATTGTTCAGGGTCTTGATGAAGAAGTCTGACCATCTTATAGGTGGGCATCCACGTGATCTTTTGCCATCTCGTGGAATTCAGTCAGTAAAGGGTCTAGGCCAGTGGTTGTCTGTAAACCCCATTACATGTCCAGCCCATCTGATTTTTGATACCTTGGCAGATGAGACAGCATCCGTGATTCTTGACCGTTGACAGAGATCAGAACTCTG